CTATTGTTAAGTCGACTATTTCGCCGTAACAATAACACCTCTCTGTGTCTTCATTTTCAGTGGACCCTACCATGGCTTACTCGAGATATATGGTAAGCTGAGAGAGAGAGAGAGAGATAAGAGAGAGAGAGAGAACTCGCGTGGTATCGTTTGCAAATCTGGAGAGTGTGGTAGTGAATACCTGTATAGTTTTCTGATATTGGTAATCTGCTTTGAAAAAACAACAAAAAAACGCAAAGGTTATTTTTCAAAACGAAGAGACGAAAGTGTGGACTATGATTGTGTTTTGTTATCACTATCATAATTATTATTGGTATTGATGTTATTATTATGATGATAATAGTTATAATAATGATAATAACAATAATGATAATGATAATTACGATAACGGTAGCCATAGTAATAATAGTAACAATAATAACAATGATAATGAAAATAATAATGATAATTTTGGTAAAGATAATGTTAGTAATAATAATAAGGGTAATGACAGTCATTATTAATATTATTACTATCATTATTATTATCACTATTATCATTATTGCTATCATCATCATTATTATTGTCATTATCATTATTATTACTATTACCAGCATTATTATTGTTGTTGTTATTGTTATTCTTATTATCATTACCACGACTACTATTAATATTGCTATTATTATTGTCATTATTAGTATTACTATCATTATTATTATCGTTATCATTATTATTATGATTATTATCATCATTAATATTATTATCGTTATTATCACCATCATTATCATATTCTTACTTACCATTATTGTTATCATTATTAGTATTACTATTACTTTTATCATCGTTATTATTATCATCATTAGCACTATTATCGTCATTAATTCTATTCGATCAATTATTTTTCGAACATCAGGATTTCACGACTATTTCGCTAATGAAAAATGATTCTCTAATTAAGAAAAAAAAACGTAAGGTCTTAATTGCTGCAATTAGAACACCAGACTAATTTTCGATAAGCTCAGAGCCATTAATTAACACGGTGTAATGAAAGGTGATCTTATACTGCATCGAAAAAAAAGGATTTAGAAGAACGAGTGTTAAAAAGTTAAAAAGTGTGAGATGACACACACAAACACACAAACCCACACAGACACACACAGATACACACACGCACACACAGACACATACACATACACACATACACACACATAAGCACACACATAAACGCACACACAGGCACACACAGATACACACACACAGATACACACACACACACACACACACACACAAACACACACACACACACACACACAGACACACACACACACTTAGAGATATTTCCATATATACATACATTTATACATACAAACATACAGACTTATATCCATACCAGCATATATACATATATACATACATGCATGCATACATACATATATATTCATACATACATACACACATGTATACCAGATATATTTTTATCACAAAGGTGATGGTGATAATAATGATAATAATGATGAAGATAATTACAATGTTAATCGTCATTGTCATCCTCATTATTATATTAATAATAACATTGAATATGATGATGATGGTGATAACAATGGCAATGATAATGATGAAAATAATGATAGCAATGATATCAATGATAATCATAGTAATAATAAAGATAACTATAATGATAATAATGGCGATGATGATGAAGATGATGATGATGATGATGATAATAATAATAATAAAGATAAATATAATGATAATAATGGCGATGATGATGATGATGATGATGATGATAATAATTATAATAATGATAATAATAATGATAGCAATGATAATAATAATAATAATAATAATAATAATAATAATAATAATTTATAATAATAATAGTGTTACTTTTTTTAGGCTTTTTTTAGGTTGATAAATATTAGTTCCAATTTTCTTTTAGCTTATAAAGAAAAAAATATTATGACAATATCAGTTATCAGTAAGAAAATCAAACGCGTGAAAAAGGAATCTTATTCAATTGACATAAAAGTCGGTATATTATTAATGATCTGTCATACTGTCTAAGTAATAATTATCACAATTGTATATATGAATTAAAGAAAAATATTTGTTCGTCTATTCTGTTCATCTATTTACTTTTCTTCATTTCATATATTTTAGTTGTTTATTTTCGTTCATTAAATTTATTGTTTTTAGAGATTTTTCTTTCTTTTTTTTTTGTTTTTTTTTTGTTTATATTTCATTCGTTAATTAATCTATTTTCTTGAGAATCTATTTATGCATTTTGTTTTATTCATTTCGTATATCTTATCTATTTATCTATGTTTATTTCCTTTCATTTATTTTACGGATTTTTCTTTGTTAATGTTTTTTTTTTATATCTACTTCATTAATTAATCTATTTCCTCGAAAACCAATTTGCTTATTTTTGTTTATTTCATATATTGTGCTTGTTTATTTTTCATTAGCTTCTTTTCATTTATTTTTATAGATATTTCTTAATTATTATTTTTTATAGATATTTCTTCATTATTTTTCTAAATATTCATATTTACCTCATTAATGATCATCTCATCACCCCCCCCTCTCTCCTACCCCCACCCTCCACTCCTATCCCCTTCTCCCCACCCCCCACCTCTCACCCCACCCCCTCTCCCCCACACCCACATTAACCTCATCTCCCTCTCCCCCCTCTTTCTCCCCCACCCCCCACACCCACACTCATTTCCCCCGGCCCATCTTCCAGGTCGCCGTAGCTCTGTGGGCGTGTCTCGTGGGCGCCTTTGAAGCAGCGGCCCTTCCTGCTGCGGGACCGAAGGCAGACGCAGAGGCAGAGGCCAAAGCAGATCCGTTTCACCTCGGCTTGGGTCTGCCGCTTCTTGGGGGGTGAGTGGGGGGCAAGAAGGGGGGAGGGTGGGGTGGGTGGGGGGGTTGAGGAAGAGGAAGGAGAGAAGGAAGGAGGAGGAAGAGGAAGGAGAGGGGGAAGAAGAGAGGGAAGGAGAGAGGGAAGAAGGAAGAGGAAGGAGAGAGGGAAGGAGGAAGAGGAAGGAGAGAGGGAAGGAGAGGGGAAGGAAGAGGGGGAAGGAGAGAGGGAAGGAGAGAGGTGGTAGTGGAAGAGAAAGAGGGAGAGATGAAGTGGAAGAGGTGGAGGAGAGAGAAGAACAGAAGGAAAGAAGGATAGGCGGAGGTGGAGGAAGAGGAAGGATAGGTGGATGGATAGGTGGACAAAGGATGAGTTTAGAAAGGGAGTGAAGGAGGTACAGACGAGGAAGGATGGAGGAAAGGAGAGAGAATGAGAAAAGGGAAGAAGAGGAGGAGGAAAAAGTGGAGGGAAGTGGGAGAGCAGAGAGAATGAAGTAGGAGATAAGTAAAGGGATAAATAGTGGAATAAGAAAGAACATGAAAGAGAAAGAGGAAAAGAGAGAGGAGGTGGTTGAGGAAGCGAAAAGGAAGGTGAATAAAAGAGGTGGAAGAGAAAGAGAGTGAAGGAGGAAAGGGAGGAAGAAGGATACGTGGAGGAAGAGAACGAAGAAGAAGAGGAAAAGGAGAAAGAAGATAAAGAAGATAAGAAGGATAAACTTTTTAAAATGAAAGAGGGAGAGGAAGAGGGTAAAAATGGATAATATTATAAGGATACTGATTTTTTATTCAGGAAATTTACCTTGTAACTAGAAGTAACCTCTAAAAGAAGAATAAAAAAATTAATAACAGTTTTATTCGCAAGATTATATGAATATTAACGAAGATATATATTTTTTTCTCTGTAATTTTGTATTCATAAGGTCATTATTAATCTGATATACTTTCACGATACACTAAAGAATTATAAAAAACATATATTTCTTGTATCTCGTAATTTTATCTAATACCTTATACTCTGTGCCTGATACCTTCTGTCTTTAACTTATACTTATATTTTATATATATTTTGAAAATGATTATTTATTCATTCTTATTTTTCTCTCTCTCTTTTTCCAATCTCCATTTTCTGCCTTCTCTTATTTCTTATATCTTTTCTATATTCTCTGGTATATTTTTTTCCTCTCTCTCATTCTTTCTCTTTCGTATGTCTTTCTTTTACTTCCTCTCGTTTCTTGTTTACCTTTCTCTTATCCTCTTTCTGTTTCTTTCCCCTTCGTCACCTTTCACTATTCCCCACCCTCTCCCCTTTCCCCCTTTTCCCTCCCTCCCTTATTTCCTCCCCTTCTCTCGTCATCTCATTTTTCCTCTTCTCTGCCATCTCCCTTTCCCATTCCCTTCCCCTCTATCTCCTCCTTCCTCCCTCACCATTTCCCTTTTTCATCCTTTCCTCACCACCCCCTTCCCCATCTCCTCCCCCCCTCACCTTCTCCACCTCCCTCCCTCACCCTCCCTTCCCCTACCTAACCCCTCCCTCATCCCCCTTCCCCCCTTTTCCCACCTCCTCCTTCCCTCACCCCCCTTTCCCCAACTCCTCCCTCCCTCACCCCCTTTCACCCCACCTCCCTCACCCCCCTTTCCCAACCCCTCCCTCCCTCAACACCACCCCCTTCCCCCTCCTCACCTTCTCCACCTCCCTCCCTCACCCTCCCTTCCCCTACCTAACCCCTCCCTCATCCCCCTTCCCTTTCCACCTCCCTCTCTCACCACCACCCTCTTCCCACCCCTCCCCCTCCCTCTCCCTATTCAACAGACTCTACGGAGGCTACGGCGGCTACGGTCTCGGTCTCGGTCTCGGTAGCCTGACTGGTCTCGGTTTCGGCGGCTTGGGCGGTCTCGGTCTCGGCGGGTTGGCGGGTCTTCACGGTCTCGGTGGTCTCTACGGTCTGGGCAACTTGGGTCTCGGCGGTCTCTACGGCCTCGGTCTCGGTCTCGGTCTGGGATGGTGAGTTTTCGGTTAAGGCTTTTTTTCTGTGCTTTTTTTTTTTCTTTCCTTCTTCTTCTTCTTCTTTTTCATCATCATCATCATCATCTTCTTCTTCTTCTTCTTCTTCTTCTCCTTCTTCTTCTTCTTCCTTTTTTTCTTCTTCTTCTTCCTCCTCTTCTTCTTCTTCATCATCATCTTCTTGTTTTTTGTTGTTTTTTCTCTGTTGTTGTTTTTGTTGCTTGTTTTATTTTTATGTTTTTATTGTTGTAAATTTTTCTATGTTGCTGATATTGATGTTATTTAATGATTGCCTTAATGTTGTTATTAATCAGTATCATAGTTATTATCATTAGTAATTGTTCTTATCACATTATTCTGTTATTTACATTAGCACTCTTAAACTATTATTTTTTTTACAATTATTGTTGCATCAAAATTACAGTTAACAAACTTTTTTTTTCAGGTAAAACGAATTTCTTAATGAAGAGATCTACTCAACGCGTATCAACTCATTATTACCTTCCTGTCTTGCTGGTAACTCATATAAAGCCATTTTCCTATTTTCCTGGAAGAAGAAAAAAGAAGATTCAAATATTGAAGAATTATGTCATTGCATGCAACATGTGCAAAATGACTCAGCGTTGATTGGCTAGGAAGCTTGGGGAATTCGTGCCTAGTCATTGGTTGGTTTGGATTTGAATTTGGAGCTTCGTGATTGGTTGGGCGGGATGGTGACGTGGCAAAGTCGGTGTGACACAGGCTCGTGATTGGTCGATTTGATAAAGTGTGTTTCCCAACCCCCCCTCCCTCAACACCACCCCCTTCCCCCCCGCCTCACCTTCTCCCCTCCTCCCTCAACCCCCCCCCCCCCCCCCCCCCCCCCCCCCCCCCCCCCCCCCCCCCCCCCCCCCCCCCCCCCCCCCCCCCCCCCCCCCCCCCCCCCCCCCCCCCCCCCCCCCCCCCCCCCCCCCCCCCCCCCCCCCCCCCCCCCCCCCCCCCCCCCCCCCCCCCCCCCCCCCCCCCCCCCCCCCCCCCCCCCCCCCCCCCCCCCCCCCCCCCCCCCCCCCCCCCCCCCCCCCCCCCCCCCCCCCCCCCCCCCCCCCCCCCCCCCCCCCCCCCCCCCCCCCCCCCCCCCCCCCCCCCCCCCCCCCCCCCCCCCCCCCCCCCCCCCCCCCCCCCCCCCCCCCCCCCCCCCCCCCCCCCCCCCCCCCCCCCCCCCCCCCCCCCCCCCCCCCCCCCCCCCCCCCCCCCCCCCCCCCCCCCCCCCCCCCCCCCCCCCCCCCCCCCCCCCCCCCCCCCCCCCCCCCCCCCCCCCCCCCCCCCCCCCCCCCCCCCCCCCCCCCCCCCCCCCCCCCCCCCCCCCCCCCCCCCCCCCCCCCCCCCCCCCCCCCCCCCCCCCCCCCCCCCCCCCCCCCCCCCCCCCCCCCCCCCCCCCCCCCCCCCCCCCCCCCCCCCCCCCCCCCCCCCCCCCCCCCCCCCCCCCCCCCCCCCCCCCCCCCCCCCCCCCCCCCCCCCCCCCCCCCCCCCCCCCCCCCCCCCCCCCCCCCCCCCCCCCCCCCCCCCCCCCCCCCCCCCCCCCCCCCCCCCCCCCCCCCCCCCCCCCCCCCCCCCCCCCCCCCCCCCCCCCCCCCCCCCCCCCCCCCCCCCCCCCCCCCCCCCCCCCCCCCCCCCCCCCCCCCCCCCCCCCCCCCCCCCCCCCCCCCCCCCCCCCCCCCCCCCCCCCCCCCCCCCCCCCCCCCCCCCCCCCCCCCCCCCCCCCCCCCCCCCCCCCCCCCCCCCCCCCCCCCCCCCCCCCCCCCCCCCCCCCCCCCCCCCCCCCCCCCCCCCCCCCCCCCCCCCCCCCCCCCCCCCCCCCCCCCCCCCCCCCCCCCCCCCCCCCCCCCCCCCCCCCCCCCCCCCCCCCCCCCCCCCCCCCCCCCCCCCCCCCCCCCCCCCCCCCCCCCCCCCCCCCCCCCCCCCCCCCCCCCCCCCCCCCCCCCCCCCCCCCCCCCCCCCCCCCCCCCCCCCCCCCCCCCCCCCCCCCCCCCCCCCCCCCCCCCCCCCCCCCCCCCCCCCCCCCCCCCCCCCCCCCCCCCCCCCCCCCCCCCCCCCCCCCCCCCCCCCCCCCCCCCCCCCCCCCCCCCCCCCCCCCCCCCCCCCCCCCCCCCCCCCCCCCCCCCCCCCCCCCCCCCCCCCCCCCCCCCCCCCCCCCCCCCCCCCCCCCCCCCCCCCCCCCCCCCCCCCCCCCCCCCCCCCCCCCCCCCCCCCCCCCCCCCCCCCCCCCCCCCCCCCCCCCCCCCCCCCCCCCCCCCCCCCCCCCCCCCCCCCCCCCCCCCCCCCCCCCCCCCCCCCCCCCCCCCCCCCCCCCCCCCCCCCCCCCCCCCCCCCCCCCCCCCCCCCCCCCCCCCCCCCCCCCCCCCCCCCCCCCCCCCCCCCCCCCCCCCCCCCCCCCCCCCCCCCCCCCCCCCCCCCCCCCCCCCCCCCCCCCCCCCCCCCCCCCCCCCCCCCCCCCCCCCCCCCCCCCCCCCCCCCCCCCCCCCCCCCCCCCCCCCCCCCCCCCCCCCCCCCCCCCCCCCCCCCCCCCCCCCCCCCCCCCCCCCCCCCCCCCCCCCCCCCCCCCCCCCCCCCCCCCCCCCCCCCCCCCCCCCCCCCCCCCCCCCCCCCCCCCCCCCCCCCCCCCCCCCCCCCCCCCCCCC